AGAGAGAGAGAGAGAGAGAGAGAGAGAGAGAGAGAGAGAGAGAGAGAGAGAGAGAGAGAGAGAGAGAGAGAGAGAGAGAGAGAGAGGAAATCGAAGCGGCTTAGTAAGGAGAGGAGGATGGAAAGGAAAAAGGAGAGGGAAGGGTGACAGAGTAGTTCTTGATTGAGTATTGTGTATTTATCGTTTGGTGTATTACCTGTTTCAGACGTGTGAGATCATTTACATTATCATCTCGCTTTCTCTCCTGTCGTCGTTCCGTTCTTTGTTGGCAGGTTGGTGTTGAATCGTCTTGTGCGGCTGGGCTATTACTACCGTGAACTGAACCGGTTCACAGTTGAATGTAGGGAATCCCGTCGGCCAATCAACACTCGAGCAGCTGCTTCTGCTTCGTTATTCCAAGGCAGCAGCGGCGGTCGGAAGGGTGACATGTCACTGGGAGGAAGTAGAAACGGCCATGTGAAACCGCAACCTCCTGGGGGAGGAGGAGGAGGAGGAGGAAAAGGAGGAGGAGGAGATGGAGGAGGAGGAGGAGGAGGAGGAGGGAAAGGAGGAGGTGGAGGAGGAAAAGGAGGAGGAGGAGGAGGGGCTTATCAAAGGGCGCTGGCTATGGGGATCACTGAAGTCCTGAAACTCTACAGCTCAGTGATTCTTGCCATTGAACAAGAAACTCTTCGTCAATCTGTGCCTGTCTTATCTAAAGTTGTGCAAGCCTTGCAAGAGGCGAGTTCGATGCATCCATCTTTGCCGACTTTTTTTAAAATAATTTGAAATAAAATATTGGGGGATTCTTTCTATTGGTGGGGATCTTGACCGCTTCTTTCTTCCCTTGATTGAAGAAGAAAGAAGAAAGAAGAAAGAAGAAAGAAGAAAGGAACTGTTTGTCCATCTGTGCCCGTGTTATCCGAAGTGGTACAACCCCTTGCAAGAGTCGACTTGCATATCCATCTTCTACTGTAGTTATCCTTTTTTATGTTTTTTGACATCTTCCCTTTCATTTATAGTGCTCCTTGCGCTTGAACAAGAAAGAATCTCTTGCCCATCTGTGCCCGTGTTGTCCAATATGGCCCAGTTCACTGTCAGATCGGGCCAGTTCACTGCCAAATCGTGCAAATTTGCCCCCTTGGAAGAACCTTGCATCAGCGAAATCGGGCCATTCCCCTGTCAGATCGGACTAGTTCACTGTCAGATCGGACCCACTGCACAAATTTGGCCCCCTTAAAGAACCCTGCAGCAGCAAAATCGGGCCATTCCACTGTCAGATCGGGCCAGTTCACTTTCAGATCGGACGACTGTACTGTCAAATCG